CCAATTTTCGACTGTCTTTGCCACACTCTGAGAAGCTCCCCAGGAATATATGGCTCCACTAACGGGAATAAAATTGCATCATAAATTTCAGTGGTTATACCTAATGATTCCAAAGCCCTTAATTGTGATTCTATTTGGTCATATAGGGAAGAAAGCGAAATAGACATTTGAGATTTAGAGTTTTGCATCACTAAAGACAAGAGTTCTCGAATGTAAAATTCAACTAAAACATCATCCTTGCCGAATCTACTTTTAAAACTTTCAATTACTTTTGGGTAATTTTCGACTGTAGCTGGATAACTTAAAACAAGTTCTCTCGTACGAGAATTGTCAATTGTACACTGTATAAGATATTGAAATTTGTCGCCAATATCTAAAGTTGGATCGTCATGCATTTTCCTAAACATTGACCAAAATAATAACCAGCCTTTTATACTACCGTCCAAGGCCGGATTTACATGTAAGCTAAATAAGCTGCAGCTTGGGGCCCCGAGATGGCAAGGGCCCCCACATCCCACTTTTTTCTTCTTTTTTTTAAAAGTTTCATTCAGAGCTGGAGCCCCAAAATACATTTCTTTTCTTTTTTACATTGGCGGACGCTTCTCAAAATGTAATCGAAGTGTTTAAAAATATAAAATAATTGTCTTCAATTTTCCAACCAAAAGAGCAATAAATGCTCTTTCGAGTGAAGTAAATATCTCTGCTTTCGTAGCTACCATCCACAGAGTTTTCAAATAGCCGACTCACTTTACACTGTGGGAAATGTTTTTTAGCTTCTTTAAATTGCCTTGGACTATTTTGCCTTACTTCGGAAATAAGGAATATCCACCGAAACTGAAACACCCCTTTGTATGATTTCTGGTCATAAATTGACAGGCGGGGAGAAAGACATCGAAACCAATTAGTTTAAATAGTAAAACTAGAAGGTGTTTCTAAAATCCAAAAATCTAGCAGGCTTTAATTTTTTCTTCTGTCACAAAATTTATCAGGGGCAATTCGTTAGAGTTCCATTTGGGTTATGCTTTTTTATTGATTAAATATTAAACATTAACAGATATTTATCTTTTAAAGCAATTCATTCTAAAATAAAAATAATTATTCTATAGTTGTAAATATCTAAAACTAATTGTTAATTGATATAAAGCTTTAGTGTGTTTGTTTCGCTGGATGCCCGGGGCTATTGCTCTTTCACATCCTAGCCACGGTACACCATCAAGAGCTGAGCTGATACTTTTAACCCGTCACATTTATTCTCTCTGATATTTAATAGACTCTTTAATAAATTCTTAAAAATGAGAGCCAAATATTTACATAAATGATAATCTTTATTCTTGCACAAAAATGTAACAAATGCACTTAAAATCTACCGAGGCATTCTTCATGCTGGTGCAAAAAGAAAGCGAAAGTAATGACGAAATATTTTTATTATAAACATCAATTAAAGAATTTCAGCTTGCAAAATGATTTTTTTTCTACTAACAGTATTAATATTACCGCTCTAACCAGGGTGTAGGGCTTAGAAGAAGAATAAAAAAAAATAGTATTTGCATATTTCATAAAATTGAAAAATTTGCTTCGATTATAAACGAGGGTAAGGAGGTATTTAACAGCTAGCTAGGGTATGGGGGGGTGCTGGTGCATTCATTTTTATCCTTGTAGCATCCTCTATATTGCTTCGTTAGTCAACATGGCTTATTTTTCACAAGTACACCATCGCTAGATCATTATAATTTATTCTTATCTAATGCATTAGAAAAAGAGAAAATTTACTGATTGAGAATTGTACCAAAATCAGGAATATATAAAAAAACTTTTTTTCTAAAAATACACACTTTTTATGTAAATAAAATGTAAGGCATTAATTACTAATTGCTTAATATTTCTAAATTCATAGTATTGAAATATTTATTTAGATATAGAGAAGGAAATTAAATGAATTTGTTATGCTTAGTTTAATTGCTTTGTTTTATAAAAATCATTTATCTGCTATTTTAATGTTTAAAATAAGTGTAGAAGGCAAAGTGTAAGAAAATCGCTTTATTTCCAAAACTGGATTTGACATTCAATGCTAAGGTCCATTTTTAGTATTTTATGTATAGATAGTTAAGGCGAAAGTAGTATAACACAAAATAATGCATGGAGAAAAATTAATTATTTTTTTCTCAGTGCGGTCAGTACCATGGATCACATTTCATAAAAGATACTGTATTGCAGCATGCAAACAAACGTGTTTTTCACAAAATTTCAGAAGGTCTTATATTTTGACATCTCATTTTTTTTTCTCGCAAAATTTAAGGGGAAAAAATGCGTGTCTAATAGTTTAACATAAAGAACATTCAAATGACTCTTAATTTATTAAATTTATATAAATAAATAAAACCCACAAGGCAGGTGTGTATACTTGGGGCTGATGATTATGAAATCTAACGCAGAACCTAGAGATCGTGGGTTCTAATCCAGCAGATGACAGTTTTAAGCTTTTATTTCTTAATACAGAAAAATGTCTTTCTCATTTTTTTTTAAAGTATGCTTGTTAAAAAACTAATAATTTAGCAATTATTTGAATAACTAGAAGGCTCCGATCCTTGTTCACTGTGCTCACCAACCCTCGTGGCTGCCTCTCATTAATCGTTGCAGATTAAGAGGAAGAAAGGTTTGACTTCTATTTTTTTTTTTTTTTTTTACAAAAATTGTGATTGAATTGCTATTTACATTTTGAAGATGACTGACTAAATTTAGGCCAATCAATAAAATTGGAAAATTGACGCCATCCATAGAGTTATTACTCAGTGAATATGTGAAGTCATTTCAGCAAAGGATTCGCCTCCGAATGAGGTGAACCGGGTTCAAATCCCAGTGATGGCTGGTTGATACGATTTTGCAGAAATGGCTCGCACCGACCACAGTGCTGACATCGAATATCCTCAGTGGCAGACGGATCATGGGTTAGAGTCCCCTTGCTGTTAGACTAACTGTGGGAGGGTTTCGTTGTTATCCTCTCAATATAACTCAAATGCGGAGTTAGTTCCAGCAAAACGTCCTCCACGAAGGCGAAAATTTCTTCCAATGCTTGATCCTGGAGTTCTCTTGTCTACTGGATTGGGTTCAAAGTTACAAGGCTGCGGAGTTGAACATTAGTAGTCATAAACTCGAAATTGGATCGGCTATTCAATGAATGGCATAAAATAAACTAATAATTTAGACGGGATAGCCTGGTAGGTAGGGCGTTGGGGCTCGTGTTCGGGAGAATAGGAGTTTTAATCTAGCTGGCCGAAGAATACCCGTGCATAAAATGGAGACTGGTGCAAGTTAAATCTGTTGGGGTCACAAAGTTCTCATAAATGAATTCCTGATCCAGGAGTTCCCTTGTCTTCTGGATTGGGTTCAAAATTACAAGGCTACGGAGTTGAAGATTGGTAGCTATGAACTTAAAATTAAGTCGGTTGTTCAAAGACGTTTTTGAAGAAATAAAACTAATAATCAAATTGTATTTTCTTGTATTCTTTCTAAACTCCTTGCATATTTTCTACACACCTTCATAATTTCATGTTTTTAAGTCTTATAGATTTTGAGCAGCAAAGCAAAATTTAAAGTAAAAAGAAAAAGAAAAAAAAGAAGTTGAGGAAAAAATTTGCAAAAAAATCATTTAAAATTGCAAATAATGAAAAAAAAAAACTGTTAATTATAAAATGGTCCTTCCAAATTTTTATTCTGTGCTTATGATCTTAAAATGTGTTTCTGTTGTAACTCATTTTTCCTCGTTCAAAAAATATTTGCAATAAAAAAATGGTTCTACGATTCTTTTTATAACATAATGTTAATACTCAGCAGTGAAAAACAAGACAATTTACTTTAAGTGTATAGAAATCGAATTGAACTTATAAGGGCCCCATCATTTTCAAAAGCTTAGGGTCCCGCCAAGCTTTAATCCGGCCCTGCTACCGTCATATTTGGCAAGCTCAATTTTAGGAAGTTTGAATTTACGATTCGGCTGTTCTAAGTTTATCGATGAATTTTCTTCATTAAGCTCTTTAAAATATTCGTCAAATATTGTTTTAACTTTATAATAATTATTACATTAATCAAAAATTAACTCACTTTCATTTTCTTCTTTTGTAATATTATCGGACTGCTGCATAAGTTCCAAGAATTCGTTATCCAACTTTTGAAGTTCTTCTTTCTTTATTTTCAGCGCTTCAAATTCAGCTTTAACGTCTATCCAATCCTTGGTTTCGTCTGATTTTATTTTGTTTAAATTTGATTACTTAACCGAGTGAAGGAGCTTCGAACAATCTTCCGTTGTTCTTGAATTTTATCCATTGTATTAGAATTCCATATGCAAGTTCGGATTACTTCTTAATATCACGTCCTCAGGTCACCAAAATGTTACGAGACTCTATCAGAAAGTAAAATATTCTGTCGTTCTCTACTTCTCTGAATAATAAATCTGATTAAATAATAAAACTTCTAGTAAAAAAGAACAACATTTTATTTATATAATAATTTTCAGACGATCATTTCTTATTCCGTTGCTATGGCAACTCAGCAGTTTTAAAAGAAATCAAAAGTTAGCTTTTAGCTTACACAAAAAATAATTAACAACTTTTAACAGCTTGCTCAATTTAGGCTTATAAGCCTTTGAGAAAAAGGACAGATAGCACAATTCGCGATCGCAACACTCGAATACGCCATCTGGGGAGAGACCGGTTTCATGCCTTTAGCCCTTCTCCCTTCCCTCTCCTCCTCTTTTCAGTTGTATAGGAATGTACTACGATATTTTCCCCTTTCTTAATACTTTTCCATTTTATTTAATAAAAATATTTTTTAAAATTTCCATGATACTTTTCTTTAGAACTATGTTTAATGTAGTTTTCAGTTCCATAATTTTTCAAGTTAAAAGATTTTAATCTATATGAAAATCAAGAGAGAAACTAACGTACTTCCTTCCTCTATGACTTTCCACACGCTAATGGGGAAAGCATGTGAAGTGTTGCCATAGGAAAAGAGTTCTACATTACAAGATACATTCAGACAGCGGAATTCGAACCCGCTACCTCCACGTTTTCACAGCGTTTGGTGGATGGTACTGCTCGTGTTTATATCGTGTGGCATATTTTTCAAATGATTTTTCATCGTTTAATCACCCCAGTAATTTTTTTTTCATGACGTAATCAAAATAAGCAACATTTAATAAAAAGAGGTAGGAGTAGTGCCTTTCACTTTTTCTTTTGTATAAAAAAAAAAAAAAATCTAGTTTCGTATTTGTCATTTCCCGCGTGTTTTATTGTGATGAGTGTTGCCCGTGAATTTAATTTATAAATTTTTGTTTACATTTTGAAATATGTAACATCTAACAAAATATTGCAGTGCGGTGAGTTATCTGCTCTACATTTTATAAAATCTTAATTGGTACTAAAATTGAACTATTAAGTTCATTATAATTACATTGATACTTTATTTTCTTATAATGTTAAGTTGTCATTTATAAATGTCACTGAACAAAATATTTTGTTTTAATTTAGCATTATTCTAATCTGTTCATAAGGAAAAAAACTCAATGATCTAAAACATGAATGTATCTCGCTTTTTTTGTTCACTTATTTTTTTTTATTTATTAAAGCATGAAGTGAATCCTGAAAATCGCGTATCTTTTAATCCATTTTTACACGGATTTTTTAGACTGTATATATATTTTTATTAAGTTTTACGAGTTTATACCTTACGAGTTTGTCCCTTTATGTGATGTTTTTTTTTAAAGTTTCTCGCAGGCCACTGCCTGGAAATTGCCAAGACTTGGTGATCATTCTGCCACAGATCAGGATACGGAAATCTCCCCGGTATAAAATCAAGCTTTTTTCTTAAAGAAGGATTTAAAAATACGTACTTAAGCTAACACAGAAGTATAAAAAAAAAATACCTCTTATCATTCACCTATAAAATAAGCCCAACCATATATCCTCTTTACTGCACCTTAGAAAACAACAATAATAAATAGAATTTTTGAAATTTATTCTTAAATTTCTATGCAGATCTGTTCTTTTAGATGTCCCTTTACTAGTTTGAATAAAATAAAATTTTAATTTAAAATTAAATAATCCAGTTTTTAATGATAATAGAAGAAAGTTCATCAACAGCTTAACCCATATTTTACCATCATCCTATAAAGAGGACATCTACAATTTGTAGAATTTTTACAGCGGGTATTGATTGGAGATACTTCCGTATCATGACCTGTTCTGCCAACTACAATAGTTGATTATTTACAAAATGCAAAGAAGACAATAATGTGTGCGCCCCCAACAAAATGTGAGAATATCATCCATAATATTAGACTAAAAAATGATTACATGTTCAATGAAAAAAAATTATATAGTTATTTTTTTTTTTTTTTTTTTTTTTTTTTTTTTTNTTTTTTTTTGTAAACACAGCGCTTTTGTTATTTTGAATTACTAACATATATGTTTGTTATTAATAACAGCATCTTGCAGAAAAATATTAGTGCTAGAGAGTTTTGTGCGGATAGTTCAAAAAATTCTACGATTGGGATTCGCCCCAATCTTTTAATATTACATTTGAGTAAAAGGAATAAAAAAATGTATATTTAAACTGGTTTTACAAGTGATTTAGAGGTTGTCCTATATAATGGACAATGGTAAAATCCCCCTACTATAGGCACCCACCTGAGAAACTCAATTACACCCTGGTTTCTCTGAACTAAAATCCAGAGTTTGCTTTTAGAATTACTCCTCATTGGTCATAAAACTTAGTCACTTGGTGACACCATCTTTTGGAGGAAAGTGAATGAAATTTGAGATGAGCTTTGCATTCAATGCGTATCCATTTTGACAAGAAAGTGTCAAAAATGAGTCACAGATTTATAAAAATTTAAGAGGCTCTTTACTATTCTATGTCATTGAGCAATAAGTTTGTTGATAGTGACCCTGAAATGTTAATATTGCCACCGAGAGCTTTAATCACTGATGATGAAGGCAGTGATGATGCCTGCACTAGCATTGAACATGGACATGCAATAATTGATGAAAAACCACATGAAGAAACTGCAGGAATTTTTAAGTAATTAGGAAAAAAAACTATTTAAGAAATAAATATTTCATCACCAATATGGACTAATCGAAATCTTCGTTAGCTCCTGAGGTAACATTGTCAAAGAACAGTGAATATGATTTCAAGAAATTCACCTGTAGAAATTTCGAAATGATGGCTAAAAACATGGTTGCATAAACAGTAGACGAGAGTAACTAGTATGGTAGACAAAAAAATAATCAAGAATTTCATTGAGAAGTTGATGAATTTAAGCAATTTCTGGGATTATATTCTTTAGCAGTTATCACAGTTTGCCTAGAGAATAAATGTATTGGGAAAATGCTCCTGATGTTGGAGCAATGCTTGTCAGTCGAGAAAGAGGTACTTTGATATCAAGAAGTAGTTGCACTTCAATGACAACACTGCTATTGATTCATCATATCACTATTACACAGTTCGTCTAATTTATGATCTCTGTAATGAAGCTATACAGCAATTTGGTGTGTTTTCAGAACATTTAAAACGATGAAAGGATGGATAGTTATTTCGGAAAACAATTTGCAAAATGTATGTGAAAGGAAGCCCGTGAAGTTTGGATTCAATCTCTGGATACTCGCATCTTTCAATGAATATCCTTTTCATATAATAACATATCAAGGAGCAAAGAAAGATATTGAGTCTGACATAAAGAGAGAAAAAAGTCATTATCTCAAATGGTAGTTGAAAATTTGCTTTTAATAGTTGATACTCCAACAAAGCACAAAATTTATATTGATAACTTTATCACATCTTATGACCTTTTTCGTAAGCCTTCAAAGTAAGAACTTTTTTGCTACAGAAACTGTTAGAGGGGTTAGAATCAGGGTTCGCCAAGTGGGCCCACTTTGAAAAAACCCGCCCGGGTTTTATTGGGTGGGCCCACCTTGAAAAAACCCACTTGGAACGATAAGTGGGTTTTTTCAACAAAAAAATTTTTTTTTTACTAAAACTTATTGTTTTGCATTTACTTTTATATAATTTATAGTGCAGCATAAATTTGTCAAGATTTATATGATTAAGTTTTTAATATTAGTAAAGTAAAAGAAACTGGAATCTTCATGTAATTTTATAGTAGGTATCTACTATTGAAAACTTCAAGTGGGTTTTTTCAAAAAGTAATATTTTAATGATATTAAATCAAATAAAAATTTAAATAATATACTCTGAAAAGATCAATTTTTCAAATATAGTTGCATGCTTTATATATTAATAAACAGGTTATTATTATTAATTCATATGTTTAAAAAAATTGAAAAGAAATTTTTTTTTCTTTTTTTACCAAGTGATACATTAACAAATTTAAACAGTTTTATTTTCTGGCTTTAAAAAAAAAAACTAAAACTTTTTATAAGAGAACTTTTTAAAATTATTTATCTAAAAATGAAATCATTTTCCTAGGGTTAATTATTTGAAAACAAATGGGACAAGTAACTGATACTCTTTATAATTATACGTAGTTTTAATTTCACTTTCTATTAACCTTATTATAAAAACATGTAAGACCATTAAATATTTATTTCAGTTTTTTATTTAACTCAAGTCAGATGAAATTTTAGTTTTTACTGATTATAAATATTTACAGATTATAATTTTATAATAGGTAATATCCATATGTTTAATAAATATAGTAAATAAATGTGTGTGAAAACAAAAAGATTAATAAACTTGTTCCTTTTATATTACTGCATTTATATTTTATAATTCTTAATTTAAAAAATTATGAAACATAATGCACTTAACAATAAAGAAGATTCAAATAGGTAGTGATAATGCGTTATTTAAACTTAATATAAAATACATATAACCAGGGTTCCCCAAGTGGGCCCACTTTGAAAAAACCCACTTGGTGTTTTTTTACAAATTGGTTTTTTTAAATTTGATTCAAAAAGAAGTAGCTCCTAATACTATCATTGGACACATCGTTGAAGTTAACAAATATTTTAGAAATGTGCATCAAGCACATGGATGGGCAAATGAAAAAAACTGCTTGATGACCCAATGACACTAGGTGGAATTCATATTATGAGCACGTAAAAACTTTTGCCAATAATTACCATAAATATGAAGAGATTGTTCTTGAACATCAAAATGAATCTAATAATAATATGTCAAAAATATTAAATAATGTTGGGCTTTACCAATAAACTATCAATTGGGAAAAACAGATATCAATTGTTTCTTAAGCTTTAAAAAAGCTTCAATCAGAAAACATTTCAATTTCAGAAGCTGTTGAAATATGAATTAACTTACTATCGTGTGATGAATTAGAACCCCATAAACATTTTGTAAAAAGATTCAATCAGGCTGTTCAGCCACATCATTTATTAGCATATGCGTCCTGGATCCCGAAACAAGGGGACAATTTTTAAATGATGAACAAGACCAATTAGCAGAAAACTGTCTTTCTAAGCATCATCCAGAATTTCTGCCACGTGTTATGGCATTCAAAATTTCCGATCCTGAATACTTTCCAAAATCAATGATGCTTGAGTGCAAAAAATAGTGGAAAATTATGGCAAAAAAAAAAAAAATAAATAAATAAATAAATAAATAAAATTCCTAGCTTCCACAAAATTTCTGTCAATTCTTTTTTATTTGAACTCAGCACCAGCATCCTCTGTCTCTATCGAAAGACACTTTTCAAGTTTCGGTTTGGTGCAGAGTAAACTTCGAAATAGATTAGGAATAGATAAAGCTACAAAACTCGTAAAAGTGTATCACCATCTAAGAGAGAAATGTAGACCCTTTGAATCTGTTGTATGATAATAATAATAAAGGAAAAAATTGGACCTTTTTTTTTAAGTTAACTCTTAACATCTGCTGACAATTTTTAACTATTTGGAGAAAGTTTATCACAATTAAAAAACAGTTAAAAATTAAAATATTACTTTTAAGATTTTTTAAATATTATTTTTAAGATTTCATTTGAATACAATTTATTTTGTTTCTTTTAATCATGTTTAAAAATATTGAAAGCAAACAAAAAAAAATTTATTAAGTGATACATTAAACAACAATAAACAAATTTAAAGTTTTATTATCTGATTTTAAAAAAATGAGCTATAACTTTTTATATATGCTTTTTTATAATTTTAAGATTAATTTGTTTTTTGAAACTATAAAGTTAAAATGCATATATTTATCTAAATATTTGAAAAAAGGGACAAGTAACTGATACTCTTTATAATTATACATAATTTTAATTTCACTTTCTATTAATCGTATTATAAAAACATTGAAGACCATTAAATATTTATTCCAGTTTAATTTTATTACAGGTAAAAGTCAGATGAAATTTTAGTGTTTACTTATACAACACTATTTAATAAATAAAAATATTTTCACAGTAAAATTTATGAGCACTAAATGAAAAAACCCAATTTTCCCCGGGTTTTTTCAAATAAAACCCAATTTTCCCCGGGTTTTTTCAATAAAACCCAGGCGGGTTGGGTTTTTTCAAAAATCCCCGGGTTTTTTCAAACCCTGGTTAGAATGGGAAAATGCCCTTTAAAATCATCTAAAACGTTCTGGAAGATGGATCGTCCGATCGAAAGTTTGACTTAAGAAATGAAATTGTAACTGTTCGTTGGAATAATAACTGAATACTATCATTGATAAAAAATTTTGAAGACACGAGATGCTTCAGAAAGGTTTAGAGAAGAATGAAGGGTGGAAAGTAGACATACCATCATGAGTTGTTTCCTATAATAAGTATAAGAATAGGGTAGACTTGTTTAACAATGTCATGGAATCATATTGTTCTTCTATAACAGGAAAAAATGATATTGGCCTTAATTCATGAATGCATTTGAGATATCCTTGGTTGCAGCATAGAAACCTTCCAAACTTTTTGTGCCTGAACAAACTCTAGAACTCCTTGAATTTTGTGACACATTACAGTAGCTTACTTAGAATTAAGTGCACCTCAAAATATTGCAGGAAAAAGCTTAGGCGTTCAACCCAGACCCAAGCTATGGCAGATCAGGACCCTCAAGAAACCCAGACTATTTGAAATTACAAACTGATCATATGTTAATAAGAAATCCAAATGCAAAACAATGCAGTTGTAGCTGTACAATAAACCTGAAATTGTATGCCAAAAATGTAATTCAGGACTTTGCGTCAAATGTTTTATGCCACTTCATGTAAACCAGGGGGTTTGACCGCAAAACATTTAGTAGTGGATTAGACCATTGTCCTATATATAGGACAGCTTGTAAATATTGAAACATTAAAGTGTTGGTGAGTTTTTTTAATGTTATGTTACACTTGATGCTTCATTAATATGTTATAGAATTGCTTTAAATTTTTTTTTTTTTTAAGTGTGGTAATATATGGGTTATACATACTGTATAAGTTGATCATAAACAGATAGTTTGTGAGCATTAAGTTTTTTATCAGTCTCTAAAAACTGAAATAAAAATGATTGCTTCAGCCCCAGTAAATGTCTCTGAAAATATTAAACAAATTATCTCATTTTAAAATGAAAAAATAGATGTTTTTTTAATATATCCCCACCCCACTTGACCTTTTTTATTATTATTATAGCAAACGCTTTTTACTTCAATAATCTTATTTATTTAAAATCGTACTTATTTAAGAAATTAAGTGTGACAATTATACCACTGTTACTGAAAGGTTTTTGTTAAATTGCAAAAAAAAAAAAAAAGGTTTTAATAATAATAAACAATTTATAAAAGAAAAATAACTTAATTTTGTATAAGTTGTTCTCTTTAGCAATTAATGTCAACTAAAAGTTGTCAGCAGTAATTCAAAACAACAAATACATGCATGCTTCGTGCAAGATAACTCTGCGTTGTTTTCTTAAATATTTGAAGTAAATTAATCTAAATAAAAACACTTGTACAGGTTATAAATTAATGTTACCACACATAATAATTTTACTGCAGGCTATAAATTAATGTTTTCCATTAAAAACTAATGCTTGCAACATTTTCAATTAGACTTCTTATTTTAAATTTGAATTAAATTTTTAATCTGAGAAATAAAATTGAATGATTATTGTCGATAGTTACATACTTGATTGACTGAAAACTATTTATTGTATTTGAAAACCTTGTTACTACAAGAAAAGGATATATTTAAATTCCTCATTTCTTTTAACAGAAAAAAACCTAATTCCTAACTCTCTATGTTATGCTTATGTATGTTTCTGAACAATTTCATAATTCATAGTTTTATAATTTCACTTTATATAAAAATTGCATTATATATTTTTATAAATATTATTTATAATGACATTTTCCTGTTACCATCATTTTTGTTTCAAAAATATTACTACTAAATAGGTCTATTGAGTTTACCATAGAGCTCTTGCATTGATTTTTTTGTAAGTTCTGGAAATTCTCTCTGAGACTACCTCTGAATTCCATACAATTAGGCAGAACATTCTTTAACTTATTCTTGCATCCAGCAAACTTGAGTTTTGATTGATTACTCATTCGGGAAATATTTTTTAATATACTGTTATCAATATTTAATTTGCCCATATGTTCTGGATCGCATAGACCTCAGAAAGAAAACGAACTAGAGGAAGATCCAAGCTTACTTGACCATGAGTTAGAGGAACAAACACCTGATTGCATTACATGGTTATAATTTGCCCGTCCTTGCAAGAAGGTTGGATTTTTAATATCAAGAATGGTGTAAATTTGGCAAGCCTTTTTTCAGTCTTGTTTCTCCAGAAGACTGCTTTGAGACGTCTTTGTTTAAACGAGGTGTTAAGGATTTCTAGATGGGAACAGGTCAAGTTTGTTAAGAAGGACAGGATAAGATAGTGAGCTATGCTGAATGTCTTTGAAAGCAAGAAGATAAGTAAGCAAGTAATTTTGGGCAATAGTAAGAATTTCGTAATAATTTTGTGTAGCATATCTTGAGGAAACAAATTGCCAAAAACGAATCAGAACACGCTTTTTAAAAAAATCCACGAAGACTGGTTTGTCCAGTAAATGAAGAGATTTTGCTAAAAAATAAAAATCGTGCAAATAATTGGTAATTGTGTGGATAATTGTAAACTTTTCAGTTTTAACACTTCTGAAGGGAGGTTGTGGTCATAAAATGATTTAAAATTTTTCTAAAAGAAAAGTAGAGAATAATGCTGTGCATTTAGCAAATATTTTTATCAACCTTTCTTGAACGTGTTATGTTTATTTTACCTAGAAATTATTAAACATGGCTTGTTTTTAATATGTAATATAAGTTGTTGATTATTATTTGCAGATAGTTTAGGGATACAAGATGGCTTTGACTGAAGAGCTTGGTATGTTGAATGAAAAGCAAAAGGATAGACTTCAAATATATCAGTCTGTCTTTAAGTATGATGTTTCATAATCCTCTAATATTCTTCATAATCAGGGTTGGGGTTTTGGACGTCCTAAACTGGTTTTGGACAGGACACATGGGTTTTACTGTCTTAAACTGGGTTTTACTGTCTTAAACTGGGTAAAACTGTCTTAAACTGGGTAAAACTGTCCTAAACTGGGTAAAACTGTACGAAACTGTCTTAAAGTGTCCAAAACCTTGAACTTTGGTAAAAGGTAAAAATTCTATAGGTGTAACCATTGTACACATAATAATTACATGTATCAATAAATATTTGATATTTTTTATACAATTTACTATAACTTATTAAAAGAAAATAATATAATATAATAGGAAAAGGTTTATAATTTTTGAAGCTCCACAATTCATTGAACAACAAAAGTGAATACCTAATCCTTTAAATATAAATATGCTTTTAATACTGATAAATAATATTTTTGCATAAGGATAAATATGGCAATATTAAAAAATAATAATTTTTCTTAAAAAAAATACTAAATTTGTTCAAAAATTAACCTTTTATTTTTCACAATATTTTTTTAAAAAAATGTTATAATTTCTGCATCACAGGATGATAAAAAAGACATCTATTTTTAAAAAAAATTGTTTTTAAATATAAATATATTAGTTTAAATTGAAAATACAAAATAACTGAAAAATGTATTAACAGTTTTGAAGGGCATAACATCAGTTTCAGTTACTGACACTGGTGATGTATCACCACTATGCTAAAAGAATTGAACATGAATGAAATAAAAGTATTCTTGAATAGTACTATAGATAAATAAACCTGTTTATGACGAACCAAGCACTTAGTCCCTAATATTTTAACCTGTATGGCAAGGCCAAACTTCAGTTATGTACTATTGAATGAGAGGACCAATTGAACTTGATTACTGATTAATCTTCCTTTGTTTAAATTGAAGAGTCAAACAATATTAATAAAACATTATACTTTTAAAAACAAATATTCTCTAGTATATTTAATTATCAATATGTTATTAGTTCTATGTTTATTTTACCTCTTAGATATTGTTCAGATAAAATTGTGACATAATTTGATAAAAGGGTTTTGGACAGTTTAAGACAGTTTTGGACAAAGGGGTTTTGGACAGGACGGTTTAAACCGTGGATTAATCCATTCTGTCCTAAACCTTGCCAACCCTGTTCATAATTGTATATGACGATTGTAATATGTCTTAGAATCTTTAAATTTCTAGGAAATTTTGAACTACAAAATTTAAGAATTTCTTTACAAAAAAAGTAGCTTTAAATTAAAGTAAAAAATATTTTTTATATTAAAATAATAAAAAAAAAATTTAAACAAAAAATATTTTAAAAATAAGTTTTTAAGTATGTTAATAGTGTTTAATAAGAACCCTTTGCCTCTTGATTCTTTGGTGAAATGTTTAATTTTATTTATGTTTTTTTTTTTTTTTTTTTTTTTTTTTTTTTTTGAATTTTTGATCATAGAATATTATTTGGCAGCTCATAACCATTAAATAAGTGGGAAATAAAACACTCTCTTATTAGGTAGGGGAGAGAAATGGCAACTGATTAATTTTTGTATTTATTCAGATTTTTTTCTTAAAATTTTTTTAATAAAGTAGTGTGGTAAGTGAATTTTGATAGGTAATTTAAAACTATATATTTGTCTGCTTTTATAATTTGAAAAATTTGCTTTTTTGTTGTTGTTTAAAGTGGCAAAAACTAATTTGAAGACGTTAAAAACTTTTTTGATAAAAAGTTGGAAAAACAAATCTATTATAAAACTGAAAATAGTCAAATAAATGTATTACACTTTTATCATTCTGTATATGTCAATTGTTTAGTATTTATTCAGTTTTTCCAGAAAAAAAAATAGCTATGATTTCGAGAATTATGTCCATTGTGTTTTTCTTATTCTGAATGGAAGATTATCATGTATGTCACCTGTTTTAAAAACTTAGTGAGTGGTGTAGATAGCGATCTTTTATTTATATAAAAATAGAATAGAATCACAAGCAAATCAAAAGAATCATGTAACATTTACCCTTCAACTCATACTCTTTTAATTGAGTTCAACTACAACAAGAGGCTTCTTTAAGTCATTACTGAATAATGTCAACATTTAAATTGTGCTTTTGTATTATTTATTTAATTGTTTATGTTGGTTTGTATAATATGAACCATTCTTAACAAATTTCAACGTGTGTTTAACTTAGCAAATTTTAACTTATGTAATATAACACTTGATTTAAATAACAAATTTTTTTTCTTCTCTTATCTTTATTTTTCTTAGTATTCTTTCTCAATTATAGTAAAACATTGTTTCGTTATTCTTTCCTAAAACCATCCAACGAAATGAAAAATTTTAAATGATTAAAAATTCTTCTGCTGTATTTTCTTGCTTTTTAAATGTACCTATTTTTTTTTGGAAAAAAAAATGTAATGAATTTTATTTAAGTGCATGGTAATTAATTAAAGATTAGCTTGAAATCCATCTTTTGATTCAGTTAGAAACTAATTACAACCTTATTCCAGGTTATGGTTTAAATTATACTCATAAAATAATTTTTGTCAGTCAACCATAAAATCATCCTTGTACAAAACACTCTGTTAAAAAAAATTACGTATTGGCATCAAGGCTACTTTTTCGTGAAGTCACAACTATGATATAGAAAGTACGATTTAGTTTTTAAACTTTTATGTTTAACATGAAAAATATTTTTATCTTAAAGATATAACACTTTTGTGAAATTTTTTCTGGCATAGTTTGTTAATCCTTTTCCATTACCAAAAATGCCCATTCCTGTGGTATTATATTTTAAAATTTGATTGCAATTTAGAAAAAATATTGCATTGGAAACTGTGTGAAATTAATGTAATATTCTATTGAGATACTGGTAACTGAGGTATTGCTCTACTTAAAAACATAAAATTTTATTAGATTAAATTAAAATATATGCGTATATTTGTTTAATCTTATCTTTTCTTTTTTTTTCATGTGAAGCAAAATCTCTGTTTTAGATATTAAGAATACTTTTACTTATGTGTTGTTTAAGGAAGTCACATTGAGTTAATTGAAAAAAAAAATAATGCTATTTTGCTAATTAAGTTAGATAGTTTAGATTAAGTTAGTTGGATAGTGAGTATCCATGAAAATATGAAAAATGTATGATTAAACAAAAAGAAGCAAAAAATTATATCTCAAATGGTTCCTTTTCACATAACTATTTTTATTGGTTTTGTTTTGAAAGTTGTAGACTTGAATTATGTTACATGTTAGTAAGACATAGTCTTACTAACATGGCAAAGAATATGGCCATTTAGACAGTCCCGCCGGTACACTCATGGTATCAGAGTAGATGCCAGGGTGCTCCTTAGTTCGGTGCAGCAATAGAGGAGAACAAACTGCCATTACTCGTTTCCTCAGTGGACATCTATCTGTCATCAATGATTTATGATGATGGTAATTAACGCTTCAAAATCTGCACTAAGTGTTCTGCTGCCCAGGCCTCCCTTGACCACATTTTATCTTGTCTGGGACTTACCAGGCAGAACCTGGTTCAATCTCCCCTGTTGGTGCTAGACTATCTCAGAGTGAACGAGCTCATGGACCTGATCTAGCTCTGCTGGTCATGGGGATGAGATAATCTATGTTGCATTGTACTTAAAAATATATATATTGGGTTTACCTAAGTTTAGTTTATATCCATACTTTACCTATGGTACTCCTAGTAAAAAGGTTAATCATTCTAGATAAGTTCATATTCCATCATTGCTAAACTTCATTTGGTATTTAAAGAAATGCAATCACTCCTTTAGATATCATGACTACTGATAAATTTTTTATTTTGGTTATTTTGAATTGACATTTTTTTCTTTTTTCAAACAAAGGAAACTCTTTGAGGATAAAGAAGAAATTGATGCTGATGATCTAAATAGTCTTTGCTCCTATTGGCAAAATGATATTAATGCTGAACTTTTTGAGCTTCAGGAATTATGCTTGAATAATCTTCTTTTTCTTTTTCAAACAAATAATCTTAATAAGTGAGTTTTTATTTATTTATTTTTCAATAAGTTTATTATCTTTATTGTTTTACTACATTTGTTTTTTTAATTTTGATTGAAAATTTTCTTTTAGCCATCAGATATTTTTTTATTTGTACACAAAAAAAGCTTGATTACTTTTCAGATTTTTTTTATTTGTTTTCAATTTATTTTGTGATCAAAATAAAATAAATAAGTATGTAATTTTATAATGCATGTGAAATTATGTGAAAGCTGACTTAACAATGAAGTTTACTTATGAAGTAAAAGAAAATTGGTAATTGCTGACTTATAGAATAATTAAAAATTATTATGATTTTTATTGTGCTAATGTTTTTATAAATTTAAATTAAGTGTTTTTTTTTAAAATTGTTATTTTAATTATCATTAATTGTAAAATTAGTGAAAATACTAGAATATTTTTCGCTTTGTATTTTTGACAAATACAATAATAATAAAGTTTTGTTTATGTAGTGTGTGTTTAAATATTTGAATGCTTGTATATTAATGAATTGAATAGTTATTAAAATTTTTTGTGTACATTAATTATGCATTTGCTGGAAATTTAGAAATTTTTTTTTACCTCCGTTTCTTCTTTTTGTGAATTAAAAAAATAATTGTTTTTGTGTCATATTAAATATGCAGTATTGACCTTTTTACAAAAAGAAAAAAATTCTTTGAGCTCTTAATTTTAGTTATTGATAGTAGGAATGAAACGAATAGTAATTTGACCAAATAGCATTGCTTTTGTGTTTTTTTTTTAAATCATTAATAAATGTTATTTATATATTTTATATACTAAGTTAAGTTTAGATTATTTTTCAACAATTAATTTATTATTTTTTTTTAATTAAGATTATTTAAATTTTTTCATCATCTATTATATTTTCCTTTTATTTATTGTTTTTAGGCTTCTTTCTGATACATCCAAAGAACAATTAGTAAAAAGTAAGTTTTTTTAAACATAAATTCTTTTTATTTATCCATGTTCCATTAGCAGTTATAACTGACGTTATCTAAAGTTTTGTATTAAATTTTATTTATTGCAGTTTTAATTATTCTGAAAATTTAAAAAAAAATTATGTGTTGCAGGCTTGGTTACATTACTGAGTAGTACCAAAGAAGAAAGAGCAGTGTCTCTTTGTATTTCAATATTAAATGCTACTCTGAGCTCAGTGAAATTAAATAATGAGTTGGTAAGTTTTTTTTTTTTTTTTTTTTTTTTTTTTNTTTTTTTTTTTTAAAGCTCTAAGATTTATAGAAATAGTTTCTCATCTCTTATATTTTACTCAAATTTAATCTTTTTCTTCCAAGACGTTTTGTTCTTAATTTCACTTAATTGCTGTAAGAATTTACTATTCATAATCAAGAATAAATGCACATCAATTATTAACGCCCCAGCATAAGCAAAGTGCAAGAGGAATTTTTTCATTCTTTGACAAAAGGAGAGAGGGGGGAAAAAAGTCAGAGAACACTTTGAACCAAGCAGTCATTTTTCTTTTTGGGTCCATCAGCACATGAGCGTTCAAGCATGTGCATTGAAGTTACTAAACAAAAATTAAAAGCATCTATAAAGGTTAATTGCTTTGATTTATGATACCTTCAGGCCGAGCACTAGCACTTGAAGGTGTGTGTGTGGAGTTATCTAATATTGCATTAAAATACCACACAAACAAATGGAAAGTTAAGGCTTTATTGTTATAGTAACAGTTTTAAGCGTTAATCTGTAGTGTTGATTTAGTAGTCCTTTTATTGTTTAGGGATCTCCCTGAGCCATGTGCATTATTGTACAGGTATGTGCCCATATAAATACAAGTTGTATCCGCTGAGTTTGTGGTCAATTACATCTGCATTCAATTAGTTTTTCTGGTATTTTAATGGAAAATTAAATTAAGCTGCACACATCTTCAATGGTGTGTTTTTGGTCTTGTTCACTTTTGTTTTGTGATGTTTTTTTACTTTGGCAGTGGAGAATAAGATAAAATATTGTCTAAATGAAACCTAAGTTACATCTTGCTAGAACATTTCTTTTTGGAGTAAAAGAGTTATTAATCTATTCTGAAAATTAAAAATCTTCTGCTCTTTGGTTTGTTAAGCATTTAAATTCTGTTTTCATAAAATTTATTAGCATACAATCAGCCAAAGAGTTCAGAAATCTTCAAAAATACTAATATCTTTACAAACTTATAAAAATGTTTTTTTTTTCGTTCCACATATGTTAAAAATAATATATTATCTTTGTTTTACGTCATTTTAAATCATTAGATTGAATTGTTCATTGAAGTCTACACATACATGATGTTAAACTTAATTTTGTGACTCTAGCTAAAAAGATTACAAGACACTATTGATGTAACCCATATGTTTGTTTGTGTTATAAAGTTACTGATGTTTATATATATATATGTGTGTGTGTGTGTATATATATATCTATCTATATATATATATATATATATATATACATACATACATACACTTCATGCATGTGTATGTACGTACATACATACATAGACATATACACACATTAATTGATAGAAATGGGCAAACAAATATAAGTATATTTTTTTACCTTGAGTTTTATGTAAGTTGTTGTATAACAAGTTTTGAAAGTAAAAGAATATATATTTTTTTCTGACATAATGTTCTTAGTGAAATTTCTTTTGCTTTGTATGTGCTATTTAATAGTAATGAAGCTTTTATTTGAAAAGTATATTTTCTTGTAATGTCTTTATCTATGTGTTTAAAAGTTAATTAATTCCTTTAATATTATCATTCTAAATTTTCAGGCCAAAGATTTGTTAGGAAAAATTGACGAACTCATTTGCAAGTTTACTTTATCTGTTTCTGTTTATACATCTATTTGTCTTTACATTCAAAGGTAATCATTTAAGATGTATATTTTCTGCATGCAATCAAGTTGTCAATGATTTAATGCAACAAATTATTTGAAATTTAATGATTAATCACTGCTTAAAATAAAAGTAAAAAATAAAGAAAACAATGATTAAGGTATTATGTTGAAATTTTAAAAAGGTTTTGTATAAAGAGAACAAAAGTTGAATTTTTTATAGTAATAAAGTAATTAAAATTATTTGTATTGTGCTCGATAAAATTATTGCTTCCCTATGTTTGTTTTTAATTTTTAAAAAGTACTGTTATTAATATTTTCAACTTCAGCACTTTTAAGTTATACTGTTATGAAGTAATTCTAATAATTTTTGCTTTTTAACTATTTCTATTTTATGACAAAAATGTAAATTGATGTACTGATGACAAAAAAATTCTGTTTTCTTTGTTTTAGTTTCTTAAAATGATTCTATAAACAAAAAAGCCAAAACTAATTTTGTAGCCTTAAGATTATGTATTGGGGTTTAGTGATCCTTCACTATATCTTAATGGGCATTTTAGTTTTTTGTGTTGGTAATTTTGTTTCAAAACATTGTTATCAAAATCAATGAGATTTTTTTTTCTTTTTTAAAATCTGAAATAGTTACTTACAGCTTTCTAAGATGCTTTGAAATTAAGATACAAAGTTTCCTTTGATTTCATAAAAGCACCCCTAAACATTATACTTACATAAAATTTTTGTTAGAAATGTATTGCAACTCCAGTTTTAATTTAAGTTATGATGGGTCAAAAGTGCTTAAATCACTTTTTGGCTCTTCTAATAGTAAAAATGCACTTAGATTAAGAAAAGCTATTACATAAATCAAAATTGCAAAATTTATATTTTGTTGAATTTTTCTTTTTATTCTAAAGCTTGATAGCATTCTTTTGCATATTCAATTCATTTTAGTATCTCAGATAAAGTAATATCTGGTAAAATTTACGTTTAAATGCATTATCTATCTTAATATAGTTTCATTAGAACTCTAGTATTACTCATTAGAATTTGGTATTTTATTACTTTTGCATTATTATTATTACTTTTTGTTGAAAACTAATGATTTTAATAGAAATTTTGTTAATGATTATCTACTTGATAGTTTTTTCATTTAATTAACAATAACATGTGATATCAAATGATTATTAAATGTGTTAAATCTGTTTGAATGACTTTCTGGGTAATAATACTAAATAAACAGTTATGCCATTTTGTTCTAAATTAAGATTGTTAATTTCCCACTAGAAACTTCCCTTCCCCCAAAGGATGTAATTTTAAATTCAATTATAGTCTGGAATAAAATCTTTTGAGTGAAAATTTTAATCAGTTGCAATGTTTCATTGATTAAGAACATCACATGAACTAGAGCCATGGTTGCTCAGGGGATAGAGCATTTGCCTCCAAATGAGGTGACCCAATTTCGATTTCCAGCGATGGCTGGTTTATACAAATTCTACTCCCAGTTTGCTCCAACCACAGTGCCGACATAATATATAATCAGTGGCAGACGTTCATGGATTAGAATCCCCTTGCCGTCCATGGGAGGTTTTTGTGTGGTTAAATTTTTTTTTTAATCTTTCTACAAAAATATAAAGTTTTTAACATTAATTAAAAATAAAATTAGAAAAAAATTAATCATTTTTTAAATTTTTTATCATATTGAATGGCAAAATTATGTAAAATGCCACCTTATGAAAGTAGACCACCTTATGAGTTTTGCCGAGTAAAAAAAAAAGTGCAGTAGAGTTTAGTTAATTTGAGGTCGATGGGACAGACCCTACCTTAAACTAATAGAAAAAATTTAATTTTTGAAATTTCAATTCGCAATGTTTTAGCAATTTAAATAAAGCAATTTTTAAACTCCGATGCGGTAGTATATTTAAATGAAGAGTGTTTGATGAACCAACCGTTCAATTTGCAATGTTTTTAAAAATATAAATTTTAATGGAGTCAGGACAAGCTTACAGGAAAGTAGTGTAAAAGCTTTTGCTTTTATTTTTAATTTTAATAAAATATAGGGGTAAGCAACAATATTTTAGGTGTCATTGTAACCATGATTTTTAGATATTTGTTCATTGCAGTAATTTTTCCAAAAAAATCTCCTACAAGGTTTTCTCTCCTTCCATGGCTTGTAGAAACAAATGTAGACAGCTGCAGTCTAAAAGTATGCCTCTTTGAGGCTGTAAAAACATTGCATGAATCGCATCAAAGTTTAGTTCTTCTTTAAGATGAGAATCATTTGCCCCTATTGATGATTAAGATGCCTTCGTAAGACAGAAGTAGTAATTTTTTTTAATGTTGATCATTCTTTCAATACTGAACTAATTTGTTTTTACAAACTGAGATTTATTAAAAATTCGGAAAAATCGAGACCTGATTTTTTGAGTCTCTACTGTAATAGATCTCATATATAAATTGAATCTAATTTCAATTGTATATCAATCTTGTCATAAAATTCACTTATATGTTACGTCATTTCACTAATATGTTATGATGCAACTTTAAAAATGCTATCTTTCTTATTATTTTAGATTCTTTAAGCAGTATGAAGCAGATCTTTCGACATTCATGCCAACTATTGCCAAGTTAATATTTTTGCCTCTAGTTCACAAATCTTGCAATGTGCGAGAGGTGGCAGAAAAAACATTGAATATGTTTCCTAAACTGATATTATATTCTGAAAATGGGATATTTTGTAACACTTTACTGAAGTTAGTAAAAGAAGTAAGTCATAAGCTTTTTATCATTTCAATCGAAAGTTTTTTTTTGAAAAATATGTTTTGAAGAGTGGCAAAGAATTAATTTTATAACAGTGTGTTCTATTTTGTATTAATTTGACAAATAAGGTTTAAATTTAAAAAGCGAATTTTTCTTAAATAAATTATTGAAAATATGGGTTCAATGAATTGTGGGATTGCAAGTGTAACATTAAGCTTTTTAACATAAAATTTTTTGTTTAAAAATTAAGTACAATTTTTGTTTTGGCTTCTATTTGGGCATCCTTATTATGATGCATCAATTAAGAGAGTTTTGTATGAGACTTAATTTTTTTTTTTGCTTTTCTTTTTCTTGAAAAAACAGAAATAGGAAAACTGAGATGTTCAGACTTAAAATTTTCTTGAAAAAATTAAGATCTATTTTTATTTTTTGTTTAGCCCTTATGTATAATTTTTTGCTTTTTTAGGCATATTTCTGATAGCGTGGAAATTTAAAACTTTTCTGATAAACTATATTTCTTTCAGCATTTTATGGATGTTTTTTTTTCTTCCTGGAAAATATTAATTTTAGCATTAAAGTTTTATTTTACGAATTAAGAGGATTTTTTTCTCTTTCTTTCTTTCAACTTTACAATTTCATTTTTTATAGCTGTTAGTTTTTTATTTATCTTACTCATTTATAATGTATATCTATATTATAGTTTTTTTCCCTTTACCCCATACCAATAATATATCTAAGTTTTGATTAGTTTTTGTTAATGACTAAACTTATTTATATATAAAAATAATATTTATTTATTATTAAAAATATTATTAAATAATATTTATTATTAAAAATGTTGCTATTTGGCCGTTGAATATTCGATATATGGTGTTTTGGCTAAGTCACTATTCGTTACATCCCTTGCGAGAACTCTCTTTGAATAATAAATTATAAAGGCATTAAGAATTTTTTCAATATTTATAATTTTGTTATCAAGTGTACATCATTTTAAATTATTTCTTAGATTTAAAAATTTGCTTGATTGGAACTCGGCAACAAAACATTATGGATTTTTCTGTTGTAAATATTCTAAATTNAATTTTGCACGGTTTGGCTTACTTTTGAAAGAGTTATCGCTATTTTTGTGATTTTTCCTTAATTTATGATAACCAGTGTATTTATTTATTTTTTTTGAAAAGAAGAAAAAGAAAAATGTTTGACTTATTTCATACTTATAATTTTTGTAAAAATAATTCAGCACTGATTTTGTTTTCTTCTCTTTAACAAAATTTTAAATTGCTTTTGTCTGTAGTGAGTTTATTCTTAAAGGCAATTCTTAGTTAAAAATATTTTTTGAATATTTTAAACATAAAATTAATTGTTATTCAAATTTGCTTTTAATTACCAATAACGTGTCATTTTTTTGAATCATAAGAGATTTGTTGATTTACATTGTATATTATAATTATGTGTGTTATAGGGACCATATTATCACTCATTTATTACCTAATTTAAATTAAGAATTTCTTTAAATAAATTATGCATTTTAATTTTTCTGGTAATTATTTAATAACATTTGTATTTCTTCTAGCATTACTGTAAAGATCTGCTGGAATTATTTAAAGATAAACAGGAGGTATATTGCCTTAAAGTGTGGAAGCATATTGTCATTTGTCTTGGAAAGGTACCCTTACAGTGTGATTTTCCTTTTTATTTTGACTCTATATTTAAAACTCCTTATTGTTTGTAAAAAGATAACAGGGTGCGTAGCGTGTTGACAAAGTTCTTAAAGATGCTTATTTTCGATTTTTGTTTTTTAAAAGTCCTTAAAGGTGCTTTTTTCATTAGGGGTTTTCAAAAAGTGCTTAATTTTCCCTTTTTCAAATTGAGATTTTTCCTTTACTCTGTTGATTTTTTCTTCGAATTATGAAAAAAGACACAGTTCTCATTGTTCTATTCAACGTTTTCACAATTATATCAACCCCAATCTATTCCGGCGTATTGTCAATCCGTAGCGTATGAAAACGTCATTCGTTTTATATGATTCAAAATTTCATGATTTTTGACAATAGTAAAAATACCAAAAGGTTGTTTTTTTTCCCCCGACATGACGGTTCAAACAAGATAAAACCGCCAATTGTCAAAAACTTTCCAGCCATGTCTAATTATGATATTTCTTTTAAGTGCTTAAAAATATTTTTTGAGTGCTTGAAAAGTGCTGAAAAGGTGCTTATTTTTTGTTGAATAATTTGGCTTCGTACCCTGTGTAAAATAAAATCACAGTTTTCAGAAGTTGAAACTACATTCTTTCATTCAATTCCAATTTTTTTTTCCTTTCAGACATTGCATTCAAATCTTCCTTTGATGACTCCATTTTTTCAAATTATAGAAAAGGGTTTCAAGTCTACTTCAGATGATGTTTGCAAAACAGCATTTTTAGTTTGGAAATGTCTGATTAGTAATTTTGCTCTGGATGAAAGTAAGTCTTTCGATTTCTTTTTGATAATTTTATTTATAATTTGCATAGTGAGTTGCAAGTTAAAATACATAGCTATTGTCTTCTAAGTTTTAATATATTACCACTTTTACAATTACTGCCAAAAATGTGCTTTTTCCACCTCATAGAAAAATTACAATTAATAATTACATTTATATTGATATATATTTTAGTATTACATGGCACTAAAATCAACAAAAATTTCTTGATCTCTATTGGTAGCATTTGGATAATTTTTAGCTTTAAAATTGTTTTGCCAATTGGTGTATACCCTTCCTCCTACCAATTGCTAATATTTTTTCGAATGTTTATTAATATTTTCTACTTTTTTGTATTAATTGTTTGCGTGAAATCTGACATCATTATTAATTATCATTATAAATTTACATTGTGCTGTCATCCCTTCCATTTATTTATTTGTATTGATAGGACACAAAAAACACATACTTCAAAAGTTTGATATTCCCCAGTTGCTTCTGTGAGGGCAAATTAAGTCAAGATACATGAAATGTAAATAAATAAATAAACAGAATAGTAATGTTTTTTTTTATCCCTGTTAATTTACTCATCCTAAAAAATAATTAAGATAAACATAAAAACTTTCTTGAAATAAGTTCGTAACTTAAGGAATAAAGTGTATTTTCATGTGCTTTCTTTTTAAAAATAACTTTGACTTTAAATTGTAAAAGCTAATCTTACTTGCAAACAATATCATACTGTTGCTAATTTTCAAAATGCCAGTTACAATTGAGGGACGTTAAAAATGAGAATTGATATTAGATCAGTATACATGAGAGCTTATTTTATTAATGACCAAGTTGTGATTTTTCAACGAAATTTATGCCATGCAGATCAACCTAATAATGACTTTAAACGATTTTTTCCTCTTTAAAAGAGTCGAAAAAGTTCTTAAAAAAGATGGAGACCGTGTAAGAAATGAAAAATTATATCAGATAATGATTAAAGTATTCTTGCTATTGTATTTACCAAAATATTTGTTGAATTTACATTATATAATTTATTAACTGACCTGATTTAACATTATAGTTAGGTTATAATTTTAAGTTAATTATCAAAATTATAATAAATTAAAGGTGTAAAGTGATAAGAAAAATTAGTCAACCTAAAATTTCTTTTTATCTACTTTTGCGAAATTTCTAACGTGATGAACTGTAATTAGTGTCATGATTTTTAGACATTTATTCAAGTTTGTTTTTTTTTTCAGTTTCTAATGATATATATATATCCTTAAAGTATAGTTATATTTTTACTGATGTTTATGAAATTATATGATATAATAAAAGATGAACAGTCCTATTTTTGTAAATGATATCGAAAAATTAGTAATAGTCTCCCATCAGAAGTTGTCATGTGCAAAGTGAGAGTAAAGCGGACTGGTAGAGTTTGATCCTGAGATTCAGGGAAAGAAGAAAAAAAATTGAAGCAAAATGGAGAATCTGGAGAAAGTGAACGTAGGCATTTTATTTTATAACCATCATTGAACAGCTGACACAATTCTGAGTTTACGACTATCAATGTTCAACTCTGCAGTTTTGTAGTCATGAACCTAACCCAGAAGACAAGGGAACTACTGGATACAGGATCAGGACAAGCTAGCCTTTATGAAAGACTATTTGATGGTACTAACCTGCATTTGCCTTACATTGGTAGGAAAATCTTGAAATTTCTCATGGTTAGCTTGTTGGCAAGGGGTCCTAACCCATGACCTGTCTACCACTATGTCAGCAATGTTGCTGGTGCGAGCTGAGAGCAGATTTCATATCAACCAATTACCTCTAGGATTCAAACCTAGTGCCCCTCATTTGGAGACAAATGCTCCATTCCCTGAGCCACTGTGGCTCTATTTGACATATTGTAGAAAAGAAATCAAATTAATTTAAAAAGCTTCCAATCATAGTGAACCAAAAAATGAAATGGTGAGCCAGTTAACTTTTGACTATGGAATGCCAGTTTTGAATTCTCGCCAAAAGAAGAACACTATATTTCACATATTTAAATTCTCCTCGCCTTTGAAAAAAGGGAGCTCTTTCGATAGGGTTTTATACTTACTTGAGGCTTTATAATACTTATTCATAGCTACTGAAAATCATGATTTCTAGCGATTATAAATTATAGTTACTTGTAAGCATAATTTATGATTGCTCTTGGTTATGATTATTTTTAAGTTTTGTGATTAAAGGGTTTTTGTTTCATGAATACATAAATTTATTATCCATGCATTGTAAGAAAGTCACAGCTTTTAGCTAAAAATGTAATTTTATTTATTATAATTTTTTTAAGCAAAAAATGTTTCTTTGTAATTGAAACAATACATAATAAAAGTGCAATGTAAAAAAAAAAAGAAAAGGAAAAAAAAACAGTGATATGCGTGTACGTCATTAAATTAGCAAGACCAATGTCAATGTTTGCTCCCAATATCTGTTAACTTGGCTGGAAAGTGTTTATACTCATTTAGCCAAATAGCCTGACAATTAAGAAATTAAATGTGATGTTTCTTGAATTTAGGTAGTTTGTTTATTTAATGTTTTTATTTTTAGATGTTCTAAATGACTCCAAAAAGCTCCGCTTTGTCCTAAAACCATTCAAAAATCTTTCTCGGTGTAATGAGAACACATCTTTAGCGATTTGTGATACTTGGTGGCATCTGGCATGGAGTTTATCTCATAACCTTTCCTCTAGGTTTACTGAGGTGGTTTTTATTTGTTTTAGATTTTAGTTTTTATAAGAGTAAGACTTTGGTGCTATTTAGGTTACTTTCATTTGTATGAATTATTACTAACATGGATTTTTTTTCATGTGAAATTATTATATATCTTTGAACTATCTATTGAGAAAGAATAAATTCTGAATTAATTATAGTCGTATCTTTTTTTTTTATAAAAAAAATTATTTCTATTATGTTTATCCTCTTTTATCTTATCTAAAAATATGCTTTATCATTTCCCAACTTCATTTTTTTATTTTTTATGGTTGATGAATATATAGTTTTCTATATATTCATCTCAAAGTATTATGAGTTCAGATAAATAAAATTATACTGAAAATCCTTAAAGCTTTCTGTTCTAACAAAGTAATTCCGAATTTTTTTAAAATTATTATTCTTGTCTTTATTATCTATACGTATAATAAATTTCTGATTTTTTTTCTTTGATCCGCTATAAACTCTGAGTTGTATACAAAGGATGAACAAATAAAATTATTAGACGATCCATAAAGTTTTAAACTATTAAAGAAGCTTTAAAGAAAAAAGTTGTCATAAAAAATTTTGTATTATTGTATTTCTATGCATTATTACATTATTATTATATATAATTATACATATATATTATATATTATGCTTAAATATACAATATATTTCCTTCTCTTATAAGGACTTTTCTAGTTTACAGTATATTTTTGTGATGTTTTATTATATTTGTCTAAGCAATTATATTTATGGATTTTCTCAGCCTTAAATCTATGCCTGATTAATAGTTTAAAATAATAATGAAAATTTTTGGCTTTCTTTAAAGGTATGTATCCCACTGTTAGATTTTGCAATGGGAAGAACTTTATCTGGATCACATGAAAAAACAGCCCCAAAATCAAGTATGTGTAATTTTTTACATCCCATAATAAATTTTTTAGAAATTAAACTTTTCTTTCCCGTGAATGCAACTAGTTATAACTTTATAACTGATTCGAAATAAATTATGTTATTTCTATTATGTAAACTATTATATTATGTTTTAAAATTTTTGTTTCAAAGCTTTGCATTTATTTTTAAAGAATTCTTTCTCTTTCATTTAAGTGTGCAATAATCAGTCGAAAAAGTTTAGATGAAAATTCATTATTGAATTCAATTTATTTTCAATTTTTCCATTCCATACTTCATAACTGAAATTTAGGTTCTCTGTTAGCTCTATTACTTTTCTATACATACTCAGAATCAAGGTGTATTTAACACAGAAAATTTAATTAAATATAATGGACTTGATTCAATTTATAAATTTTTTTTACTTTCAAATTTAAAGATGTAAGTTTATTTACAGTAAAAAAATTATGAAATTATATTTTCTTCTGGAAAAGTTAAAAACGTGTTAAATTTTGATTTTTTTAAAAGACAACTGTACACTACTTCAAATTTTTTATACTTTAAAAAAAAAGAGAAAAAAACATATCTTGAGTAAATATTATTTATAATTTTTTGCACTTAGTTTTTAAATTTTTTAAAACAATGTAGTTTTTTATTATTGAAATAAAAAACAACTAAGTTATTATTAATTAATAAAACTGAATTCTATCTTCTTTTGTTCCATTCATTCATTCAATTATTTCAGATATATATTTTTTTCCTTCGGAGGGAAATTCTCCGAAATTCTTAGAATCACGAAATTTTTAAGTTTGTTTACGCATTTGGTTTTTTGGGAGATATATAAAGCAAAGAAATACATATTAAAATGTACAATTAATGAGGTGTAACATATCAGAGCTACTATACCATACATATTAATTACAAACTTTTTAATTTGTTGTAATAGTAAGTTAACCCATTTGGAATAATTTTTCAGGTACTTATTCAATGAACAAAATTGTCATGTATATATATGTGTATATAAACACAATGAAAAATAGATTTTTCTGGTTAATCAGTTTTTAACATGAATGCATACCTCGAAAAATCTGTTTTTTTTTTTTTTTTTTTTTTTATATGTAATTTTTATATTTTCTTGTATGAAAGATTTTGCTTTAAAAATTTTTTGGAAAAAAGGAAAAAAGTTTTGTTTGTTTTTATTATAAGTGTCAGGAAACAGACGTTTCTGAAAAATGGAAGACAAAATAAGGGATTTTGTTCGGTATATATATGTGTATATTCTATTATTGTCACNCTTTACTGTGATTGCAACTTGTTTTTAAAAAATTTTTGGAAAAAAGGAAAAAAGTTTTGTTTGTTTTTATTTATAAGTGTCAGGAAACAGACGTTTCTGAAAAATGGAAGACAAAATAAGGGATTTTGTTCGGTATATATATGTGTATATTCTATTATTGTCACCTTATTTTGATCATACTTCTGAAATCTTATTATGATTTCTACTTTTCTTATTATTATGATGTTTCCAGACAGGTTTGAATATAAATTTACTTAAATGTGAATGTGTTTATATTACTTTTGTTGATTTGTTTAGAGTTTTTTTTTTCATGTATGAATTGTTCTCTGTTATAGATCAAGTAGTTCTAATTAAGAGAAGCTGTCATCTGCTCCTGAGAATTTTAGAACAACCGCAGAGTACAAACTTAAATAGAATTTCAAGTCCTAAAAAATTACCTCCAATTATTTATCGTAAGTATGATGAATTTTGCTAACAGTTTCAATATTAACTAAAAATGTAGTCATTTTTACTGATTTTATTTTTATTTTATGAATGCATAAAATGAAGTTTAATTAATGAATCACGTGTTAGGTTATTTTACTGTTGTGACTTAAATTTTTTTTTTAAATTCAGACACTTAGTGATATTTTGATTTTTTTAAAATAAGATTAAAGTAAAGAATTCTTGCTGTTGTGGGCCTGGGAGGGATTCTACTATTTTGTGATCGATGATAGTAGCTCTGTGTTCTGTATTGTGCATCGTCCCTTATTTTCCGCTGAGGCATACTGGTCCCTATCAACTTGAAGAAGGGTGGCAACGAAATAGAACTCTTGTCCTTAATAATAATTTGCTCAGTCCTTTAACTATGCCCTTGCATCTCGTTTTTATAGGTAAAATACATTTTGTAGCTATAATGTAATCATCACTAGTTTTCACATATATACTGTAATCATAACTAGTTTTCACATAAACAAGTATACTATTTTAAAAAAATAGGTTTGAATGTAAAATATATTTGTACCTTTCATTCCTGCTTTAAGTGTTACCTAATTTGAGTAAAGTAATAAAATTATTTATATCTATTGAACATAGTAGTAGTGAAATTGTTCATTTTCATTGATATATTTTCAATAATAATGAAATAAGAAATTTTTTTTCCACAAGGATTGAATTTTACTTGAAGCATACTTATGTGAAAGAGCTGTTAGGCAGGATAAACATTTACTTACAATGTGCTTGGGCTAAAAAAAAAAAAATTTAAAAGGCAATAAAATTAAATAGTTTAAGTAAGTTAATATTATAATTTTTACAGAAATAATAGTCCTATTGAGTTCAATGTCCTAACTGCACCTTTGGAATTCAAGTTAGTGAAATTTAAAGGGGATTATTAAACAGTGAAAATAAATTTTAATTGTTCTCTCTTTTTTTTTTTTTCATAAGAAAAATTACTTAGTTCATGGTATTAGAATGAGAATGATGCCTTATAATCAGAATGAAAGTGAATGTTTAATTTAAAATATACTGTAACTGACTAATTTTTGTCAGACTTTTTTTTTTTGTTGCACATTTCCTCTATTTCAGTCTTTAACCTATTACAATATTGATTTTTTAAGTAATGAATAATAAGGATAATAGTTTTTTTTAATTAACTGCACAATCGCATATTTATGTTGGAAAAGTAGAAGCTAACATTTGTGAGAACATTGTAATTAACTAAATTTTTAATCTCTTTGTTTATGCAGCCCAGAATTTTAATTCCTGCATTTCTTTATAGCTTCACTTCAAGTACCTTTAGAACAAAAAGTTATCATACGTCATTTTAAAGAGATATGTTCTGTAATCAAAACTGTTTTGGAATCTCTTAAGAATGTTAAAGAAATGTGTAAGTATTTTACATTTTTGGACTAGGTATAAAATATGTGCTATAATAATATTTTTATATTGCTGTACCTCTAGCAAATGAAATTAAATAGTGAAATTGTTAGATACATTGTGTGCTGGATAATAGAATTGTTAATATGATTATGATACTTATCAGTTATGATATTAATAGATTGAAATCTTCATTCCCTTCAAAAATATAATAATTGGAAATAACAGTTAACATATTTTAAGCGTTCAAAAACAGACACCCATTTTCAAAACTTGCCAGAGGTGAATAAGAAGAAAAAGTGATATGAAATACAAAATGTGAAGTTACCCACAAAAAATGAAAAAAAAAATTCCATTCTATTTTGATTGGCAATCTTACGTTTTATATTTCAAATCATTTTTATTTCTTCTCATTCACGTTTGACAGGTCTGGAAAATAGGCGTCTGTTTTTGAGTGCTTGAAACACGTCAACTGCTATTTCCATTTTGTATATTTTTTAAGCTAATGAAGTTTTTAGTCTAGTAATATCTTGCTGCTTCAGTTTCCAGGGATTATTATTTAACATCAGTTATGATATTAAATTGCCTTTGTTCTTTTAAGACGATGAAAGGCAAGGCTTTTTTTAAATAATTCATTAAGTAAGTTTTAAAAGATTTATGATAGAATTAAATCATAATTAATGATAACCTAATCACTTTCATGTCAACGCATCAGCATTAGGCTTTCGTTTTTCTGTAGATCTTATTTTGTAGTTTTTTTAATTCGAAATATGTTGAGTTAATGCTATAGTTCACATCCAGTAAAAAATATTTTCTGAAAAAAGGCATTAAGCTAGAAATAATTTTTTTTTCTGTAAGTGACTGCAATGAATTATTTTTAAAGTTTTAAAAGTCTGATAATTATCTTAATCTGCTGTGAACAATTTATTTTTATATATGCAATCAACATTTTATTTAATGCTGTAATTAGTTGTAATCCTTTAATTTCTATGTTTCCAATTTTAATCACTCTAATTAAATAAACACCTTTTTAATTTTGTAGCAAACCACATAGAGTGTCTGATGAAATCTGCACTCTTTGTTGTATCAATTACCGCTGAGGATCGAAGCAAAGAACCAGTGGAGGCAGTTACAGCTTTCTTAAGTCTTGTTTCTGATATAACAGATTCACAGTTGTGTTCATCTTTAGTTTGTTTAGTGAGTTTATTATTTTTTTAGAAACATTTCATTCTAAAAAATAATATTTTCAAAGATCTTTGATTTGAAAACATACAATTAAGGGAAAAAAACTTTTAATCCACTCAGACTCTTGTAATGAAAATAAATTTTCTAAATGAAAATAAAAAAATTGCTTAAAATCATTTGGATTTATGTATTGTAGGTGGTTGTTGTGTCACTCAATTTTTTTCTTTTAAAAAAAAACTATATTATCTGAACCAGCTATTTAGTTTTGAAATATTCTTGTCTTCTTAAAGTCATTTCTCAAAGATCTATGCATTTGTTGTAAAATTTAAAATTATAAGCAATTTATCTTAAGAAAACTAATTTTTTTTTGTTGCATTTAAACCCATTTTGAAAATTTAGAATCTTTCGTTTTGATCTATAAGTTATACTTATTTTTCAAAGTAACTTTTAGTTTGATGTGTTGCTTAATTTTCTTTACCTAGTTCATAAAATTATTCAACATTATGTATCCTTATTCTCTAAGGTTTTTTGTTTAAATTTATTTCAGAAATGTATTGACAGTCTTAGCAAATTACCACGATCTACACTTACATCTCATTGCTATAATGGAGGATTTCGTAAATCTCAGGTATGGAGAAAAAAAAATGAGGCATTTGGTTTAGTGAAAAAAAATTTTTTTATTGTAAGAATGTTAAAATTTTCCTTTTTTAAAATTTTTAAAAAAAATATAATGTAATAGTTTGTTATATGCATTGCGTTACATAAATAATGGGGCTCTTATTGTTTTTTTTAACATTTAATAAGATCTAATTTTTTCTTACATACTTTCAGGCCCTTAATAATTATTATAAAAATATTGATATTGCTGTAATAAAAATTGTGTTGAATTTCTTCTTCACAACTTTCAAAATAAATTTCTATCAACATCTAAAGTTATCTCAAGTTAAGTGATACCCAATGTTCTTTGTTTTAGGTGTCACAAAAATTTAATATATTTTCTTATTTTTAGTCCTCCTTAAAAATATGTCTTTTAACTTAAATTTGCCTCCAAGCAATCAATTTTGATAAGATATATTGTTATTATTATTTTTCTTTTTAGGATATCTTGTGCACAACTCTTTTGAAACTTCTTCTGGACCCTTATTTATTAACCAAAGAAACTCCAAAAAGGTATAATTTTGATTATAATACTTGTTTTTAATCTAACTAAATGCAAACTTTTTAAATACAAATTGCTAATGTTTACTTTAAATTGTTATTTTGAACTTTATTTATGTTGATAAATATCTATACTTTTTCTCACTTTTAATAATAATACATAATCTTAGAGATGCTAGGATTGTAAAAATCATATTACAATACCCATATTAGGATACTAAGGATAATATTTTAGAATAATACAATGCCATTGATACCTATTACCACAATTAATTAATCACAAGGTGAGTAATCACAAGGAGGGTAAATTTTTGGAGAAATTTTGCATCTCTTAACATTGAACAATATTTTTTACTTGTTTATTGAAAAAGTATGTATATTACAGGTAATCATTACATTGTCACCCAAAAAGCTTTTAAAATTTAAATCATATCTATCAGACTGATTTTTAAACACATGAATTTTATTTAAAAAAAAGGATACCATCTAGGATTACTAGCTCAGTATGATTTAAGTAGTTATTTTAATTATTTTTAAATTCATCATTAGTTAAAGAACTGTATGATAATACTCTCAAATTTAGTATAAAACATGTATATTTAGTATAATGTATATATATTTAATATAACAGTTGTAAACTTATACAAATAAATTGTTATACTGTAATGAAAATTAGTTAATCATATTTATTTTTTGTATTTTCTTTTTCTAGGTTTTTGACCGCATATAATCGTCTTGTACAAACAGGGTTGTGTGAATCATTAAATCCTTTATCAATGGCACAGAAATTTACTCACTGTTTGAAAGTTGCTGCTGCACCTGGAATTATGGATTCTGAAGTAGTTTTTGATATGTGGTCTGGTATCGCATCTCCTTTGTTGGAAAATATTGAGAAGGTGAGCATGCATACGCTTTCTATTTCTAAGGATGGGTCAAAAATTAAACATAGTCAGCCTGTTCTCAAACTTAAAAAAAAAAGATTTCAAATATTTGATTTTCTTGGCATCCTTTTGAACCCTTAATGAGGCCAAAAAAATTTTTTATTAATTATTATTTTTTGCATATGTTTGCTGTTATAAATTCTCTGTCCCATATGCAATAAGAAATGTATGATTATATTTAATCCCCACTAGTGTTTAAAAAATGACTATTTAGAGTTGTTTCTGCTTTTTTTTTCTTCGTATAACTTGAGTTTTTGAAATAAAAAAAAAGCTTAAAATTCTGGCATATTAAAATATGTTAAAAGACTTGTGTGTAACTTTTTTAAAAAAAATGCAGAAAGATGCTTTTTTCATTGGGTGTTTTTAGAAAGTGATAATTTTTCTCTTTTCTAAAATGAGATTTTCTTTTCTTTACCATGTCGATTTTCACCAGTAATAACCCAAAAAGCATGCTTTTCACATTGCTCCATTCAACACTTTTATAATTCATTCAGCCACAATCCATTTTGGTGTGCCACCGGTTCGTAGCATTTGAAAGCGATAATCATTTTACATGTTTAATGAAATCATTTTAAATATTGCAGCTCGACTTCTGCATACTTTTAACCGGATTCGGAAGGAATCTTACAATCTCATGTGAAACTGTGCTGCATTTTGCGAGAGAATCATGATTTCGGGTTACATTTTCAACCCTTTGAAATCGAACCAAAAATTCCCCCCAATTTTTTTTTTTCGATCTTGAGAACCAACTGAACATCACCAATTTTTTTCCCTCAATATAAAAATAAATTTTTACTTGTCTTGTTTATTTCATCACTGGTGAAGTGCCATTGTCTTTGTCATTGACAAGCCAATGATGTTCTCACATTTTTCTATTTATAGATCTGTACTATAATTCTTGATCTTGACTTGGGGATTATTCACTAAATATGTATTTTCATGTGGGTCCAGAGCTATCAGCAATCACAGAGCTTCATCATCAAAATTTCCATCTCCCTCTTATTCATTTAATTCAATAAAGATGAAAATTAATTGAGATTTTTAATCCTAGGATTTATACCTAAGAGACCATCCACTTATTGCAAAATATTTTTTGAGCTTTTTATTGTATTGTATATTATACATAATTTTTTTATTGTACCTAATACTATCGAAGGAAAAAATACAATAGGAAAACTCATTTTTACAAAAATAATTACACGCAAAGAATAGTTAGGAATAATTATTTTCATTATTTATATTGTTACTTTATTTAATTTTGTTTGAAAAAATAAATCTTTTTATTTATGTCCCTTTGAATCTAAACTGCGTTTTGTTAAATGGTAAAAAACTACAATAATACCAAATTCGATCAAATGGTTCCAAGTAATGAAAGTTAGATACTCAAAAATAATAGTAACAACAATAAATAAGAAGGAAAAAAAATGTCTCAAACATTATTCAATTCAATCCATTTTGCACAAGTTTTGTTCTTACCTTTTGAAATTAGGTATAAAGTCAACTTTTTATACCTAGCATTTAAAATTTTTTTTATCGTTAAATGATAAAAAATATGTTAAATAATAATTTAAAATTATTTTTGATTTATAATTATAATTAAGTAAACTAGTATCATCAGGGGTCTGTCTAGGTTTTTCTGAGAGGTATCTATTTTGTGAAAATTTAGACATAATTTGTGAAAAATTAAAAATTATATTAAAGAATCACCATAAAAATATGGATTTATCGTTTCTTAAGGGATAGAAAAATACAATTTTAAGAAAAAGTATTTTGTGAAACTACTGTTTTTCCTAAAATTGAATTTGTGAAGGTACCGCTGAACGGTGGTAAATTCGGCCTGGACAGACCCCTGATCATGAATGGATGCAAAATGTTTTTGATTTGAACATTAAATTCAAAGATAAAGGAAAACATCCAAAAACAAAAATTTTAGATTGAAGGATACACTCTTTATGTAGCTATTCTAATTGAAGTATTGAAAGCATATTTTCCAGATTACATCTGCCACATACATCTTTGTAATTAAAATTCCAAATCAGGTAAAGAAAGGTATGTTTATTCAGAGAAATAATGTTTTTGTGTTTTATTTAGCAAGTTATTGTTTATGGAATTATGATTAAGGAATTTTGAAATAGGTTGTAATTTATGATATACTTGACTAATAAAATGAGTATTTTGCAGCCTTTTAACCCACTGACGGTTCTGCACGTAAAAAGTCGCATTTTAACCTGCAGNTAGTAAGTTATTGTTTATGGAATTATGATTAAGGAATTTTGAAATAGGTTGTAATTTATGATATACTTGACTCATAAAATGAGTATTTTGCAGCCTTTTAAATCATAGTTTCATTTTTTTACAGACTCAAGAAGTGAATCAAGGTGATAAGAGGGAGCATGATTTCAGCTGCTTGTATGATGTCCTGTTATGTCCTTTTGAACACATTTTCCCTATAAATATGATGCAACAGGTAGAATATTTTGCAAACATTCATTCATACCTTGTTTTATTTCATAATTAATAAATCTCTGATGTGATTTTATATATTATGATGCTTATTTATTTTTTAAAATTTTATTTTTATGTTGGGGAAATGTTTTGTAATTTTTAAAAATATAATAGTGGTCATCATCAGATATGAGTAATATACGGGAACGGTGTTTGTCAAAACTTTGTCATTATTGCAGAAAATTTCTTAGTATTACTAAAAAAAAAAACATTTAATTTTACGCTTTTTTAGCGCTGCATTTTTCCTGCGATTACTGATGGACGGGTAAGGGCCTTCTTTACCCGACAACATCATTAAATAAATAGTTGGGTGAATTTACGTAGTGGCAGAACATGGGAAGACTCAGCTCCTTTAGAGATGTAAATTTATTTGACAAACATCAAGACCAATCATCGACCAATTAAAGGCTACTGAGCATCTTGTATAAATTATTTTGCAGGTAGATGAAAAGTTAAGTGGTAACTGACTTCTCCTGTAACGAAAACATTGTCTCATGAGTGCAGTTTGCTGCCACTCCTGATGAATGACCGACATTAAGCTTTTATGGCATTATTACAAGAGATAACCTGACTTAACAAGAGATAAACAATGAGCATAGAGATAACCTGACTTAACAAGAGATAAACAATGAGCTTAGATTCGGCTGATTTAACGCTATGATCAATCATATTCCCATCAGTTGCGTTATTGCATTCGACTTTCAGCCATGCTGGTGTAAGGGATTATTTTTTTTGTTTCGAATTCCTGAGTGAAAAATATTAGTTTTTACTCAAACATGATTTACAATTACATTCACATGATTTAAAATGACACATCGGGATTGGTGTTCCCATGATTTAAAATCATATATATTTCATGTTTCCATGACTTTATATCAAATATTATAATTCATATTGACATAATTTTAAAGCAACTATTATGATTCGTGTTCAAGGGACATAAAAATCAAGCATCAAGATTTGTAATAACTGTACAACTTTAAAATCAAACTTTGATACTCGTATTCACACGATTTTGAAACTAACACATTGCATATGGGCAACTTTTTCAAAAATAGTATTACAGCTGTTATAGATTAAAATTTCAAAAAAGTGGTGGCAAGATTTTTTAAAAGTTGGAGTAAACTTGTCACTATAACTATAACTTTTATTTAAAAGAAAAACATTTACGACAAGCAATTACAGTAATGATTACATATATACTGAATCATTTATGTTTGTGGTAATCATGGATGGATAATTTCTTTGAAAAAGAGAGCAGAAACAAAGTAGTTTTGCTACCACTTTTAAAACTTTTGTATGGATCGTAGAAATTTAAAAAACGTAATCTTACGAGACCTGCTTGAAATGTGTTAAATATCAAGATTCTTATTTGTATGATTTAAAATTCACACATTAAGATACATTATCACAAACCAAAAACCAAATTAATAAAATCTCACATCAATATTTTTATAAAAAATATTTAAATTAAAATAATTTTTTAAATACTAGCACTTTATTTTTGAAGTGTCTCTTTTAGTATTTTTGTTTTAGATAGCTGTAAAAATTTAAAAGGGCAATCATGTGTTTAAGTAATAATAACTATGAGGTTATACATTAAAAAATCAATTACTTTTCTTTTGCTATGTATTAATTAAATGAAATCCTTAATGGGTTTTTATTATTAAAGTTCGTAATACTGTTTGTAAAAATGGTATAATAAAAGTGGGTATACAATAAAAATTAGTTTACAAATAATTTTCTTTTTTATTAGTTTCGAAATAAACCATCTTTCCAGCTATGGGCTAATTTATACAAAGCTTTCATTCGTTGCTCTGCTCTTGTGCCGACAACTCACCCTAATGAAGCATGTGAACAGTTCTGCTGCAGACTAAAAATTACTGTAAAAGAAGATTTGCTCAAAGTAAGATATATTTGTTTTGAACATTATTCATTATATATATATAAAAGAAATGTTACATAATGCAAACCTCTTTTTCTTCAATGATATGATAGCCCAGGGTTGGACAACTCAAGAATTTTCAATTATTCACTCTCAAAAATATTTTTTTCTGTTGATTGCTTTTTGTTCATTATCACAACATGGCAAGCCCATTTAATTTTTTGGATTTTTATGTGTTAAATGATGCCAGGTTCTTTGAAGGCATGGTATACTTCTAGATTTGATCATCAATGCCAAATGGAACAAATTTTAAGTCCACCAAAAATAGCTGTTGGTATCTGCCACTTAAAGACTCCAAGAGCATTTTCATCTTGTGTCATTGTCAAAGTTTCTGAAGAGTAGCTGAGTATAGGTTTAATAAGCCATTTATAAGTAACTAATATAATTTTCATTTTAATTAGGTTTGATTTTAAATTCCGTGAAAACATCTATTGGCTGTGTTGATTCTCTTCTTCTGTTTATATTAACTTAGGAGCCAAGATATGTAAAGCTATTGACTTTTTCAAATTTACATGTACCAATTTGCGAATGAATAGCAGAGTCTGTTATTATGGTGCACTGCATGTATTAATTTTTTCTTGGTTGATAATAAAATGCATTTTCATAGCCTCTTTTTTCCTGGACTAAAAATGTCTGATCAGATAGTGTTCTTTCGTTAATGTCTATGTTGCAGGCAAATGCATTAATTAGCGCAGATTTAAGAAACATGTTTCCTCGGGATCTTTGAATCATGAATTATCATCTTCAATGCCATGTTCTTGAGAAGTAGGCATGCGACTTTGTCTCCCTGCCTAACATCATTTCTTATTTCTATTGGTTCTGAATAGTCACCCTGAATCCTAACTCTTAGCATGGTTTTGTTTAGTGTCTGAGCGGGGAGTTTAACAAACTTGTCAAGGATATCAAATTCTTGCATAGTTTCAATTAGTAGTTTTCTATTTATGCTTTCATGAGCAGTTTTGATATCTTGAAAGAAGTGGTATGCTCTAATTCAAAATTTTTTTTTTTTGTCTCTACAATTCCGTATGTTATATATAGGTTCAATTGTAGCTCTTTCCTTCCTGAACCTGCACTGATAATCTCCAGTGATGTTTTTCATATATGGAGAGAGTCTGCCAAACAAATTGTTTGAAAATCATTTACATGCTCTGCAGAGTAGATTAATTCCACTGTAATTGGAGCATTCAAGGATGTGTCCTTTTTTCATAAATGAGATAGACTGTGCTAAGTTTCCTCAATTCTCTGTATTATTCAATTAAGAAGCTGTGAACTATTGTTCATGTGATGTGAAGGAACTATTTGTATCTTAAATTGCAATGAATTCTTAATGTAAGGAAAGTTGAAGTTTCTACAAAAAAAAATTATTTTTAAATTTGTAAAGGAAAGAAAAAGAAAAGCAGACTATCCAAATACAGAATATGATTTCCTTTTACTGGAGACATTAAAAATAGCGATAATATAACTAAAAGCAAGATGTACAGAGAGGGATGGCAATGCTAGAGTTATACAATGTTTAAGAATTCTACACAGTCTGCTGATGAAATAATTTTTCTTTCAAACGAAGAAAAATATATTACATTATAAGTATTAAAGTGTTAAGAAAATATTTTGAGCTCTTTAAATAAGTCATTATTTTCAAATTATGATGTTAAACATATTAAATTAACATATAAATAAATAAATTGACATATAAAATATTAAATAAGTAAATTAAATTAATACATTGACCAATATTAAATCAAGAAACTTTTATATTTGACCTGTAATTGTTTTGAAGTATGTTTTTATCATTTACTTCTATGAAGCACATTTTTATGACATTTCAAACTTTTTAGCAAAATTTAATTAATAAAAATTTTTTTTTTAAGTGACTCAGCTTTTAAGTGTTGTTTGGGGAGCGGGGTGAGAAGACTCACTGAAAACTTTCTTTTTTTTTGCTATTAATATTGAAAAAAAAATTTGCATACAGAAAAATCTATTCTAAGTGGTTGTATTATATAGATTTATAAGAAAGTCACAAATTTGACTATCATTTACAACATTAATGATTACTTTAATTACATTGATTTTGACTGAAAATATAACATTTTTGGGGATAGCCATATTTGGTTCCACTTTCAAGGTAGCAAGACATTTATTGTAAGCAGTTTTATATGGTATGAGTGTTTGATTTCTTGCTATCGCTGATATTAATATTTATTTCTTTATTTTGATTTTTATAGGAGCCACATTACTTTGAAACAGTCTGCTTTGTTTTGCAATCAGTTTTCGAATCAGTTGACTCCAGCAGTGCTGGTGTTCTTCCTATTGTAAATGGTAAAAATTATTTCTTTTCACATAAGATTGAAATTATATTATAATTTAGTATATTTTTATATGCAGAATGTCCTAAATTATACTGATGGCTTTTTAGTATTTATAACAGCAAAACTGTTGAAGTTTAAAAAAATAATAATTCATGCTGCAAAATTATCGAGCAGGACATAAATTTTTCCTCCCATTATTCCTGGTTATAGTTCAAAAATGTTTCAGCTGATGGTGCTGCAGATTTTAATGTCTAAATCATCACAAATTTAAAAATGGCAAACCTATTTTAATACATAAAAATCACATTATACAATTTTCAAAATGTCTGCCATCATTGCTAAACCAAACGACAAAGTAAAAAAATAGCAACTCAAGCCCATTATCAACCCAAACTAAACAATCCAACCCAATACTAGATATGCACAATACGTGGATGTATGAAACATCATATTATTTAAATTATAGTTAGATTTAGTCACGGAATATTTAAAAATATATTGTTAACTTTTAACATTTTAGTATCTATTTGCTTAGGGTAATTATAGTGAAAGTTTTCCAGGTGAGTTTTAATTCTTTTTATAAATATTTTCTATTAAATAACATAAAAGAAAATTAGTTCTGCTTTAAGAAAAAGGCTCTCCTCCAAATTCAAATTATCATTCATTAAAAATTTAAACTTAAAATCACACTAAAACAATTTTATATTTAAATTTAGTGGTTTTATTATTATTTACTTTGTATAATTATAAAAATTTGTGTCCTTAAGCTTTTAGTTTTAAATATATATCTTATAAATAATGTTAGGGTGTTCAAAAATGTGTTTAATTATCAAAAATGTGTGAAATGTGTCCATTTTTGCAACAATGTGTCCTCTCCTTCCCCAAGAATATATCATTCTTCATTGAATGATTAATAACAAAGTTTTTACTTAATTTGATTTTTCCCTTTTTATTTAAAACAGTTTAATTTTTAGTTTCCTGAATATAAAAATAATAAGCTTTTTTAATTATATTATATATTTTTATTATAATCATTCTTTATCCTTTATATTAAAATCCTTAACCAATATAAAGTACAGTAGGGAACCGATTATGCGGAACGATCGGGATCATCGCTATTCCGGATAACTGATTTTTCCGGTTTTCTGAATCGCTACAAAAAGCCGTTTTTTTATTGTTAAACCCAACAAAAAAAAGTTTTTTTTTTTTTTTTTGAAATACTCTTAAAAAGAAGAAAAAAC